AGGCGGCGGCGCGGGGGTGCATCTTGCTCTTCTGTGGTCGTCCGGGGGCGATGGTGGCCGCGGGTGAGGCCCACGACGACACGCTGTGTAAAAGCCTTCCAGGCTTTGCCATCGGCGGCAGAGCTACGCAGTTTGTGGGGTCCTCGAGAGACGCCAGCGACTGAGGCGGCGTCAACGGGTTCCGGGTGAAAATTGTACAAGTTGTAGTTCGTGTTCCACGTTAGGTGGTATGGGACAGAGGCGTGCGAGAGCAGTTGTTGATAGAACGCAGTGTTGATCAAGGACGCTGTCTTGGCGTTGGACGAACGATGTTGATGCTTGTACGCTGATTGTCCCATTCAAAAATCCACCTGAATCGGTTGATACTTTCTTCGAAATCGTAGCCTTGGCGGTGGAGGACGCGGCGCATGGTACGTGTCGAGACCGAAACGTTGTGTCGGCTAGGAGAGACACGCATGACGACATGAGGCGATGGAGACAAGCATCGTACGCCTTCAACTCGGCCGCAAGACGGGTCGCCGAGACAGGCTTGGCGTCGCTTCTCAGCGATGCAATGAGCTCGCTGATTCATTGCCAAGCGCGTGTGCTGGTGAGTTCGGGCGGCAGCCACGGCGAATTGGCGCGGCCGGCGCAAAGGTCGGGCGGGTCCTTGTCCCGCCGCCACTGCGCAATGACGTTGCCAATCGTCGACGTGGAGAAGCCAACGCGCTCGTGGATGAGGTCGCGCACCGGGCGCCGGCGCCGAACGTCGCTCAGGACGTCTGCGTGCGTGCGGACGATCAGCATCTTCTCCTCTGGCGTCAGCACATGCTTCTTGTGACGACGTTGCATTTTGCAACTTGGCGGCAATCGGGTCTCAAGCGGAATCAACCAATCCAGAAGCAAGCATTTCCTGTGAGCCAATGCGAGTACTGTATTGGGTCTTGGACGTGTTTGATTGGCTATAATTGCGCTACGTGGTGAACCGCACTGGAACTCGCCACCAAGTTGAGAAGACCCTTGCGAAAGTTGAATAAACATCACTCTGGTCTTGCACAATAAGGGCTAGTTGTGCATAACTAGTGGAACTAGCATACGAACTACTACATGGTACTTTGCTTCAAAAACGACGAGTCGATGCGAGAGCCAAGCCAACTCAAGACCGTCCTGGCGACTGAAGTCGATCCGAGTCATCGCCGTTCATGCAACGCTATCGTCTCTATTCTTGTCTAGTGTTATTCAATCACGCGCGGACGTTGTAGCCAAGCGCGGTCGCGTGGCGCTCAATGAACCGCAGCGCGACGCTGCTCTTGACTTGCATCGCATCGCATTTCTCGAGGAGCGCAGTAAACACCGACGCCTCAAACGGCAATTCGCGGTCCACGTCTACATCCCAAGAGACAAGTTGTCGTCTGAATAGTCTGCAACACGTCGATACCGCCGTCGTTGAGCTGCGCAAAGACCGAGATGAGTTTCTCCAGTTCTTGCATGGTCGTGACGCGATGGATAATGTCCAACAGCACGTGGGCGTGGATCGTGAAGCCGTCGCACTCCATTTGAATGACGAGGTTGAGCGCTCGGTCCAAGAGACCTAGTAGACATAGCATTCCTCTCCATGTATGTCAATCGATGGATACCATGACGCAGCGCCAGCTCGATCATCGAGTGATAGTAGACTAGACCATTGTGAGTCCACCAAAAAAACGACAATCGAGCACCTTGGCAGCGCGCGACCGAGAGCACGTGCTTGCAAAAATCGAGGCACTTGTCCACGTCGTAGTGACGGTAGAGCCGTGCGAGAATGTCGCGCAGAAACAACGCGTCCGGTTCGATCCCTATCAAAATTCCATTAAAAAATCATGCAATAAATGCAGCACAGAATACCATTTTCTTGCATGTGGGCAATGAGCTTGAGGAGCTCGTCCGTGCGGCACTGCTGCGCCAGGACGCACCCGAAGAGCGTCGCAGCCTTGAGGTCCAATGGCACGCCCTCTTCTTGCAGCATTGAGAAGAGCGCGTCGCAGTCGGCCCACTGCCGGTGTTGGGCCAGAATCCCCAAAATCACCGTGTACACCTCAATATTTGGCCACTGGTTGAGACTACAGAACCAAAAATATCAGACAATCACATCCGATCGGCGCGATCCACGCTACTCTTTGAAATCTGCGAGGAGCTTCAACGTGGCCGACGACGCAGGGAACGACTTGGCCATTTTGGCACAGGCCATCATGGTCAGTTCGTTGATCTCGACCCGGTGTCTAGACAAGACAGAGATTTATCGTCCATTGAAAACGACGTGGCATACTGGTGCATGTGTTCGAAGACGCGCAGGCCCAGCGCGTGGAGGTTCGGATGTGTCGCACAGGCGCACAGCGCCTTGTTGTACGCGGCTTGGTCCAAGCGCCACGTTGGCGTGTCGTCGACGGTGTACGAGAGCACCATGGCCTCAAGGATCTCACGCACAAAGCCTTCGTCCGCCGAGGTCACGGCGAGGTTGAGCGCCGAGTGGAACGCTGGGGCCTTCGCATCGCCCCGGGCAACCGCGAGTCGAAAGAAGTCCTTGAAGCTGCTGTCGATCGACGCCCGTGTCTGCTCCGAGTGCAGAGCTTTCATCAGCGCCACGCAGATCTTCTCGGTCGGTGGCTCGTGCTACACACGTATCAAGTATCAAGTATGCGTATCCATCATCCCAGGAATCGAATGTACGAGAAGCTCGAAGACGTCGAGGGCGCTGGTGAGGTCTTGGCGCTGGCAGAGGTAGTAGATGACGTCGCCAAAGTCATGGAGCGTGACCGACCCCGTCGCCTGCCATGCCTTGAACACGTCGACGGCCGACGTTAGCGGCGCGTTCGCCGAAAATGCGGTCGAGAACCATGACGCGTACACGTCATGGCGCAGCGGCGCGTCAGTGAGCATCCAGTGCGCGGCCAGTTCAAACTCGTGGGCCAGCACCAAGGCGTGGACGACCCGGTCTCGCTACTCCTTCGATGAGCCACCTATGGTACCAGGTCGAGACAATTCATCGTACCATGACGGCATCCACGTGCCAGTGTGGCGACGGTAGCAGCGCCGTCAGTACGTCCGAGGCAGCGCGACCTCCGTTTTCGTATCGAATCCAATGGGCAAGACCGAGGCACGCAACGTGTGACGCAGGGTCGGTCACGGTCGGGTGCGTCGGCACGGAAAAAGCCGGCGCCAACGCCGTCAGCGTAGTGTGCAGGTCGTTGGGCGAGTGGGCATAAAGGCGAACGATGGCAGATAACGTCGCGTGCGTCGGTTTGATTTCCGCTGCAATCATGCGGGCTGTCAACTCGGTGGCCACTTGGGTGTCTACGGCGGGGCATGAGGCTTTCCATGAGCATTGATGTTGGCTCGTCGCACGGGTGCCGTCGTCGTTTGTTGCTGCGAGCGCACGCAGCGCAGCGTTAAGGAGCCCATGGCCCATTGGAATGTCCGCAGCATCCACGTCCTGTAGGATCGTCCGGACCAGCGCCGCGTCCTGCATGTACGCCGCGGCATCCAGCGCCAAGAGGAAAATGGCCTAAGAGCTCTCGACTCGATCGGTTGACATTGAAGAAAGCG